ATTATACACAATATTCTTGGATATATTTGATGAGGTCACATGATGAGGTTCCTAACTTGGTATGACAGTTCCACCAGATGGTTCTCACACAATTTGGAGTGAGAACTAAGGCTTTTAGATCAGATAATGCTAGAGAGTACTTTGAGAAGGACCTGACCACGTATCTCTTAGAACATGGTGTAGTTAATCAGAGTAGTCGTGCATATACACCACAACAAAATGGAGTTGCTGAGAGGAAAAACAGACATTGTGGAGGTGGCAAGGAGTCTTATGGTATGCGCTTCAGTTCCTTTGCAGTTCTAGGGAGATGCAATTCTTACAGCCGTGCATTTGATTAACCGTGTTCCTTCACAGACTTTGGGGTTTAAGGTGCCATTTAGTCTTCTTTTTCCAGATGGGGAGATATTTCACATACCTCTGAGGGTTTTTGGCTGTATTTCCTTTGTTCACATTCTTGGCCCTCATCCCAAGAAATTGGATCCTAAGGCCAAGAAATGTGTTTTTCTTGGGTATGCTCAGAACCAAAAGGGGTATTTCTGTTATGACACAGTGACGAGGAGCAAATTTGTCACTATGGATGTTACCTTCTTTGAATCCACCTTCTTCTCGAGTGGTTCTCCTCAGGGGGAGAGTTTTGGGGAGGAAAACTCACAATCTGTTCCTCTTCTTGTTTCTTTGGTGCCTCCATCAGTTCAGCTAGCACCTGCACCTCCAGTTTCATTACCTGAGCCACTACGGGCAACCTCACAGAACTATCAGCGCTGGTAGATGATGGTTGACTCCACACGTCCTCAACCCACACCACTCTCTGTTAGTCCTTCTTAAGCTCCAGGTTCGGCAAATACAGTTCCAATTATTCCTCTTGAGCAGGTTATGTTTTCTGATGATAATGTTCCTGTCCCTAACACCATTGTTGCAGCTGATTCCACTGACCTTGATCTTCTCATTGCACTTTGTAAGGGGAAGAGAAAGTGTACAACCCACTGCATTTCACACCATCTTTCCTACAGTGCCTTATCACCCTCCTACCGTGCTTTTCTTTCTTCCCTGGATTCTGTGTCTATACCCAGGAATGTTATTGAGGCACTCTCCAAACCTGAGTGGAAAATAGTCATGCAAGATGAGATGGATGCTTTGGTTAAAAACCAAACTTGGGAAATAGTTGATCTCCCCTAGACAAGGAGACAGTCGGATGTAGATTGGTATTCATAGTGAAGTATAAGGCCAATGGCAAGATAGAGAGGTACAAGGCAAGGTTGGTAGCAAAAGGGTATACTYARACYTATGGTRTTGATTATCTRRAAACCTTTGCACCAGTAGCTAAGATGAGTTCAGTTCGTATCCTTTTATCTCTAGCAGCCACCTATTCATGGCCCTTGTTCTAGCTTGATGTCAAAAATGCCTTC